AAAAGAGTTAAGGTACAAGCCTCGCGTCACCAAAAAAAGGAAATTGCAAAAACATAGTCTCCATGCCAACTTAGCGTCATACAGTTATACATCTGTTGTAAGTGTGAATCTGATGGGTAGAGTACCCCATTCGTCCCTCAAGGAAGGTTCCTTGATGCTGGTGAGGGGCTCTTGATTAAGCCCCCCCCGCACAGGCGCTGTATAATCAATAAATTTTATGAATCCATGTATAACACTAGACACACTTATAAAATGCATCAAAGTGGTAAAACCACTGACCTTTAATACCCCACCTTCCCTCCTCCCACCTAACATTTTCCTATATTTCCATCCTTACCCAGTCTTACTTTCCCATTTTACCAAACCTCTGCTCATAATTCCCATATTCGCGTCACTGCACTGCGTCACTGCACCGCGTCACTGCACTGCGTCACTGCACTGCGTCACTGCACCGCGTCACTGCACCGCGTCACTGCACTACGTCACTGCACCGCGTCACTGCACCGCGTCACTGCACTGCGTCACTGCACCGCGTGACTGCACTACGTCACTGCACCGCGTCACTGCACCGCGTCACTGCACTGCGTCACTGCACCGCGTCACTGCACCGCGTCACTGCACTGCGTCACTGCACCGCGTGACTGCACTACGTCACTGCACCGCGTCACTGCACCGCGTCACTGCACTGCGTCACTGCACCGCGTCACTGCACTACGTCACTGCACCGCGTCACTGCACTACGTCACTGCACCGCGTCACTGCACTACGTCACTGCACCGCGTCACTGCACTGCGTCACTGCACCGCGTCACTGCACTACGTCACTGCACGATACATTTCTCGCTGAAAACATCGGTTCGTAGCATTCCGAAAACACGAAATTACGATTCACTATCTGGTTCACCGTTAGTTACTTAAGACTGGTACCCAGCACTGGTAACCTGGTAGTTACCACTAGTACCCAACACTGGTAACAGTTAACACTAGTACCCAACACTAGTAACCCAGCAGTTAACACTAGTATCCGACACTAGTAACCCAGCAGTTAACACTAGTACCCGACACTGGTAACCCAGCAGTTAACACTAGTACCCAACACTGGTAACCCAGCAGTTAACACTAGTACCCAACACTAGTAACCCAGCAGTTAACACTAGTACCCGACACTGGTAACCCAGCAGTTAACACAAGTACCCAACACTGGTAACCCAGCAGTTAACACTAGTACCCAACACTGGTAACCCAGCAGTTAACACTAGTACCCGACACTGGTAACCCAGCAGTTAACACTAGTACCCAACACTGGTAACCCAGCAGTTAACACTAGTACCCAACACTGGTAACCCAGCAGTTAACACTAGTACCCAACACTGGTAACCCAGCAGTTAACACTAGTACCCAACACTAGTAACCCAGCAGTCAACACTAGTACCCAACACTAGTAACCCGTCAGTCAACACTAGTACCCAACACTGGTAACCCAGCAGTTAACACTAGTACCCAACACTGGTAACCCAGCATTTAACACTAGTACCCAACACTGGTAACCCAGCAGTTAACACTAGTATCCAACACTAGTAACCCAGCAGTCAACACTAGTACCCAACACTAGTAACATCAGTTAACACTAGTACCCAACACTGGTAACCCAGCAGTTAACACTAGTACCCGACACTGGTAGCCCAGCAGTTAACACTAGTACCCGACACTGGTAACCCAGCAGTTAACACTAGTACCCGACACTCGTAACCCAGCAGTTAACGCTAGTACCCGACACTAGTAACCCAGCAGTTAACACTAGTACCCAACACTGGTAACCCAGCAGTTAACACTAGTACCCAACACTGGTAACCCAGCAGTTAACACTAGTACCCGACACTGGTAACCCAGCAGTTAACACTAGTACCCGACACTGGTAACCCAGCAGTTAACGCTAGTACCCGACACTGGCAACCCAGCAGTTAACACTAGTACCCGACACTGGTAACCCAGCAGTTAACACTAGTACCCGACACTGGTAACCCAGCAGTTAACACTAGTACCCAACACTGGTAACCCAACAGTTAACACTAGTACCCAACACTGGTAACCCAGCAGTTAACACTAGTACCCAACACTGGTAACCCAGCAGTTAACACTAGTACCCGACACTGGTAACCCAGCAGATAACACTAGTACCCAACACTGGTAACCCAGCAGTTAACACTAGTACCCAACACTGGTAACCCAACAGTTAACACTAGTACCCAACACTGGTAACCCAGCAGTTAACACTAGTACCTAACACTGGTAACCCAGCAGTTAACACTAGTACCCAACACTGGTAACCCAGCAGTTAACACAAGTACCCAACACTGGTAACCAAGCAGTTAACACTAGTACCCAACACTAAGTAACCCAGCAGTTAACACTAGTACCCGACACTGGTAACCCAGCAGTTAACACTAGTACCCAACACTGGTAACCCAGCAGTTAACACTAGTACCCAACACTGGTAACCCAGCAGTTAACACTAGTACCCGACATTGGTAACCCAGCAGTTAACACTAGTACCCATCAGTTAAGAGTAGTGGTCAACAGAGTTAAATCGGAGGCTGCCATAGTGAAGAGCTCTGTTCCACAAGGCACAGTACTCGCCCCCATCTTATTCCTTATCCTCATATCAGACATAAACAGAGATGTACACCACAGCACCGCATCATCCTTTGCGGATGATACTAGGATCTGCATGAGGCTGTCATCTGCTGAGGACGCGGTTAACCTCCAAGAAGATATAAACAAAGTTTTCCAGTGGGCAACGGTAAACAATATGATGTTCAATGAGGACAAATTCTAACTACTCCGTTATGGAAAACTGGAGGAGATAATAACTAGAACAGAGTATAATACTGACTCCGGCCATACAATAGAGCGGAAAAATAATGTAAGGGACCTGGGAGTAGTAATGTCTGAGGATCTCACTTTCAAGGATCACAGTGCCACGATCGCACGTGCAAAGAAAATGATAGGATGGATAATGAGAACTTTCAAAACGAGAGATGCCAAGCCCATGATGATCCTTTTCAAATCACTTGTTCTCTCTAGGCTGGAATACTGCTGTACATTAACATCTCCATTCAAAGCAGGTGAAATCGCAGATCTAGAGAGTGTACAGAGATCCTTTACTGCACGTATAAGTTCTGTCAAGCACCTTAACTACTGGGAACGCTTGGAAGCACTTGACTTGTACTCGTTGGAACGCAGGAGGGAGAGATATATCATAATCTACACTTGGAAAATCTTGGAAGGAATGGTCCCAAATCTGCACACAGAAATCACTCCCTACGAAAGTAAAAGACTGGGCAGGCGATGCAAAATGCCGCCAATAAAAAGTAGGGGCGCCATTGGTACACTAAGAGAAAACACCTTAAGTGTCCGGGGCCCAAAACTGTTCAACAGCCTCCCATCAAGCATTAGGGGAATTGCCAATAAAGCCCTGGCTGCCTTCAAGAGAGAGCTGGACAGATACCTAAAGTCAGTGCCGGATCAGCCGGGCTGTGGCTCGTACGTTGGACTGCGTGCGGCCAGCAGTAACAGCCTAGTTGATCAGGCCCTGATCCATCGGGAGGCTTGGTCATGGACCGGGCCGCGGGGGCGTTGATCCCCGGAATAACCTCCAGGTAACTTCTGGAAGTACTGGGATATATATATGAAATGGTCGCGATGTTTTGAAACTGTATATACAAGTTGATATACGGAAGGAACATTAAAGTGGTGTCTGGAAATGTTCGAGTGAGAGAGGCAGGTGATGTCTGGAGATGTAAGAGGCAGGTGATGTCTGGAGATGTAAGAGGCAGGTGATGTCTGGAGATGTAAGAGGCAGGTGATGTCTGGAGATGTAAGAGATGGTGTTTGGAGCTGTGAGACGGAGGCAGGTGGAGTCCTGAACTGATGTCTACAGCTGTCAGAAGTCAGTGAGACCAAGTGACATCCTGACCCCCCGTCCCAAAGAACAGCCTTGTGGAAAATACTGTATATATTTTCCAGAAATTCAGTATTTATATGTAAATAGATGGCCATACTGTATTTAATAATATTTATGTTATGGAAAACGGAAAGCCTGCGTCTGCGCAGACGGGACTCGCCATCTTGGTTTTGAATTTTGTACAAACGTTGGTGTAATGGGAAGAATTTTTCGTGCTCTAGAGGTTAAAATTGTTTTGACACCTCTCAAATAGGAGGCGAAATTGGTGGATGTGCATTCCTGCATAACTTGAGAATATCAGACGACTGGACAAGACAGCTCCAGGAACCTCAGATAAGCTCTCTAGATTTGTGTGTAATTCTGGCCAACATTATTTTCATAGATTTAGTTAGAGTGAGGTTTTCTGAGTATGATACACATTAATATCCAGTCAAATTGGTGAGTGATATTAAGATATATTTTCCTTCTGTTATGTAATTGTGTATATATATATAACCATTTATTTTTAATATACAGTCCACAAATTTATATATTTACCAGTATTCCTGGTGATGTATATTTCATTTAATTAATAGGTCCAGAGCAACTTGTGGTTATGACAGTGGTAGGTGTCGAAGGGGGACATTTTTTGCGACCTAGGTGTCCCAAATTCCTACTTGTCTATGTAACATTGATAAATAATAATTATCTTTATCATTTACTGTTATGTACATAATTAGTTACATTCAGATAAATGCAATTTTCCACAAGCCTCGTATTTAAAAGCCAATAACAACACTTAGCTATACACGTCTTCTATACAAAAAGAATGGGCTCCACGTCTGGCGAGAGGCATCAATTACAACAAGAGGACTGATAGTCACTATGACAAACAAGGGATGTCGGTGCTCTGATGTGCTGTGATGTCAGGGAGAGGGGTGAGGGACAGGATATCTACAGAGAGAGATACTTACATGTTCGTAGTCTAGTCTGAGTGAGTGTAAGCACAGTTGGTGAGAGCACATCGTTGCCAGTGGATATCACAGAATGACACCTGCTTAGTACCCCGTCAGCGTCACGCTGAACTGCCCAACCTGACACACATTATTAGTTACAATTATAATGATATTAATAGTCACATCTTAATATTTGTTACATTATACTATTATAACAACGAACGCTAAACGAGATTATGCTGGGGGATGTTGGAAGGCATAGCTTAAATTGGAACGGGAGCAATCAATTCCTAAATAAGAGCCCTCACCAACATCAGACTTCTTGAGGGGTATTTAGTTACAGTTACTATCAATAGTTCTTCTCTTATTATTATTCACCTGGGAAGCGCTAAATACGTAACTAATAAGCAGTGTTTAATTATTATAGGCTAACAACGTCACAAAGTAGTTTGTACAAATTATATCTGGTCTCTGCACTGGACTATTACTGTACAGTAACAGTAGACCGTACAGTAAGTCTCTTTTTAAGGCAGGCGAGATCGCAGATCTTGAGAATGTGCTGAGAACCTTCACTGCTCGTAAAAAGTAGGTCAAGCACCTAAACTATTGTGAAAAATGCATAATAATTTTCACCTAAAATTTTTTGAGGGACTATTCCCAAATGTGCACACCGAAATAATTCCATACGAAAGCAAGAGGATTAGCAGATGGTACAATATACCCCCAGTGAAAAGAAGGGGTGCAGCATACTACTACGAGATAGTTCAATAAATGTCAAGGGACCAATACTCTGCAAACCCGTCCTCCACACATGAGCATGCACTACACACTACACACCCCGTCTATTATTTTGTTAGTGTCGGATAATCTTACTGAGATATAGTTTAATATATGTTAACATAACCTAACCTAACCTAGCCAACCACTAATGCCTGGCGTCTGCTTAGAATGTTCCTAGGCCCGACCTGCTTCCAGACCAGGCTTCCCGGTGAATGACCTGATCAACAAGGCTGTTGGCGTTAGCTGCATTAAGTCCAACATAAGCACTACAGCATGACTTAACAGGCACTGCTCTGAGAAACTTGTCCGGTTCCTTGTTGAAGACAGCCAGGGGTCTGTTGGTAATCCCCTATGTATAAAGAAAGGACGTTGAAGAGTCTTGGTCCCTCCACACTTGACTTTTCTTTAGTGTACTAATCGCACCGTTGTTGTTCATTAGACGGCGCAAAAGCATCGTCCAATGAACAGCAGATGGTGCAACAGCACCATCTGCCCAAGTCTCATATTCACACACGGAATAATTCGAGCATGCAAATTGGAACTTATGTTTCTAGGTGTAGATATTACTGAAACTACATGAGAGTAGTTTCACAGGGCAAGTCGAGTGAAGTTGCTTTAACATTATTATAATCAAAACGAAGCGCTAAACCTACAAGGGAGTTGCTTTGAGAACATGATTAGCTCCTTCAGTGACCAACCGGGCCGTGGTCTGTGTTGGACTGCGTGCTGCTAGCACAAACAGCTTGGTGGAATACTCCAATAACCCCTGAGCTACGGAGGTGGTGACCCCAGGAACTAACAGAAAATAAGGCTTTTTTTTTTTTTGCTTCTCAAAATTATTATAATAAAAAATAAGCGCTAAGCCATGCTTCTCAGAAGCTCACAGTTGGCTGAGCCTCTTGTTCTCACTGGAAGTACTGTCAATGTGTAGATTTGAAACCATGCTTAGATTATATCTTTCTCGCCTGTACTCCAGGGAGTAGACAGATGTCTGGCGTCCCTAATAATTACGTCCTTTAATTTATACTGGCGGTAAATGTTTCCTGTATATTCTGCACCTCTGTCTTAAAAAGACCTATTACTGGACAGTAATATTTAAGAATAAAAATGTCTTAAAAAAGCATCATCATTATCTTGGCATCTTCTGTTTTGAAGTTTCTAATTATCAAGCCTATCATTTTTTTTTTACTGCGATGGTATGAAATTGTGATCCTTTAACATAATAGTTTCTGATATTATCATTCCTAAGTCCCTTACTTGCCTCTTCTTCCTCTATTCACCTGAGTTGATTTCATATTTTGTCCCAGTTTGTAACTCGTCCTTAGCGAAGTAACTGAAATTTGTCCACACTGAACATTAGGCTGTCATAGCAAAAATTACTCAGTAAAGTGCATTTAAATAACATCAAGTCACTGTTATTACTGTGTGGACCGGTTTAAAAAATGTTTACCTATCTTATGAGTTGGATACTATTATCAGTTGTTATATACTGCAGTAATGTTGTCCTTGAGTAATAACATGATTATCATGCATATATTGTACTCCCTCTACCCGAGGTACTGCATGTACCTGACCTTCCTTTGTACCTGTATGTACACTCCTGGTTAGTTAATGAGGTTTAAAGCCTATCAAATACTCGAGGGGTCCTTAAGGCCGCATGTAACCTGTTCACCACGAGGCAGGAACACTAACCCCTAACAGAGGGATTAAAGTAAATTCTGAGTGTATTAGGTTAGGTTAGGTAAGGTTCGTCAGGAAACAGGACAAGTGCTTCCTGACGCAGGTCTTAGTCAGATGATGACCCGCCTTTGGAGCTTTTGGTCATCTGACCGAGGCCTTCCGCTGGCTTACCGGTCCACCCCTTTAAAAATTATGGTCATTTATAACCAGTCTGTCTATATACCTTTTTTTTCTGAGTGTATATTCAGTGAGAGACATTAGGTTAAGACAAGTGTTTCCTGACGCGAGTCTTAGTTATATGATGACCCGCAACTGGTGTTTCTGGTCATCTGACCGAGGCCTTCGCTATGAGACAGTGATATATTCCTTTCTCTCATGTATTCTCCACTGACTTAACAATACAATCCACTGTGCGGTTAATGAAGGTGTTCGCTGTATCTACCTTGAAGCTACCTTGACACTATTTCAGGCATCGCTATCCCCCGTGGCCAGGTCCCAGACCAAGCCTCCCGGTTGATCAATCAGGCTGTTGTTACCAGTCGCGCATATTAATTCCACCTTTACATACAATTCCAGTTCCGTTGTATTCAACAATTATAGACGGGGACTTACATAATTATCAATATACTTTCCTCTTCACATCAATGTATTGGATAATTACAGTCGGGAACTTAAATAATTATCATTAATATACAGTCCTCTCCACATCAATGTATTATGTAATTATAGTGGAGTACCTAAATAATTAACATCAATATACTGTCCACTTCACATTATATTGGATAATTATAGACGGGTACCTAAATGCCTGCTTATCCTCGTGATGGATATGTTGTTCAACTGCTCAGGTGGCGACAACACCAACACTTAATAAAAGCAACAGCAACAGCTACTAAAAGCAGCCATATTGTTTCATACTATGGAACAATGCTCTTCTCCAGACTGAGGGACTGACCACCTCAAAACTTTAAGGGTGATGGACTGATTACATCGTCTTCAAGTATCTTCTGCTTCTATCAACTTTTCTGTACTCGTCTGAAGAAGCCTACTATGTAGGCGAAACGTTTCGAAATAAAGATACCTACTAAAAGCAGCGACAGAAGTAGTTACAGTAAGAGCACCAGAGGTGCCGCCAGTAGTAGCAGCAACACTTCCAACAATTATGGCAACAACAGCACCATAAGCAGCAGCAGTAACCCAGCAAACAGCACTACCAGAGGATAGCAATTGTAGGAAGTTCAAGAAGCAGAAGCAGCAGCAGGAGCAGCAGCAGCAGCAGCAGCAGGAGTACCAGCAGCAGTAGGGGGAAGGTGGTGGTGGGGGTGACTAATGTCTGGGGCAGGAGCAACGAGCCTATTTTACCCCTGTGATAACCGGTTAGGGGCGAATGGCGAGGCTGAAGGCTCTTTTTGCTTTATTAAACAAAATTGCATACATCAGCAGTGTGCTTCTACACTAAACCGTATGACAGTTACATTGTAGGAACACCCACAGTCCACACTGAAAGTAATCTGAGGCGTTCTCACTAACTGAAATGTTTTATCAGCTCGATGCGAGTAGTAAACAATCTGTGTCTTGTTTCAGCTCTGGTATCTCTTGGACGGAGGCAACACGGAACAATATTCTAAGGGAGAGTGTACAAGTGATGTGAATAGTGCCACTACTACCTGGGTAGCCACAGCCACTCAAGAGGGAGAGGTTTTTTTAGTGCCAGGAAGGAAAAAAAACTGGCAGGAAATGGCAGAAATCATACACCAAATCCAGTCATTCCTGGAGTGGAACCACAGTCGATGGCCTCCACTCCAAACCAACAGATACAGATACTAATGCCGGAAAAAAATCCCCCCCCCCCAGTACCAACAATACCATCAGTCCGATGACATTCGTCTTTGCAAATATACAGGGTCTAAAGCCAGCAACAAACAACAAAATACCTTTCATCCATGGACTGCTTGCAGAGGCAAAGGCAATGTTCGCGGCTTTCACTGAGACCCACATAAAGGATCACTTGGACAACGAAATATGGATCCCAGGTTACAACCTATACAGATGTGACAGAGTGAACAGGCAAAGGGGGGGGGGTTGGCCTGTACATTGCAGAGTCACTTGTTTGCACAGAACTGCTTAATGCCTCAAATGATGTAGTGGAAGTTTTAGCAGTAAAGGTCGAGAACCAAACCCTAGTCACTGTGGTAGTCTACAAGCCTCCGGATGCAACATCCCAGCAATTCCAGGAACAGCTGTTAAAAATTGACCACTGTCTGGAAAATCTTCCAGCTCCTGCACCCAACATCTTGCTCCTGGGGGATTTCAACTTAAGGCACCTAAAATGGAGGAATATAGCAAATAATATTGTTGCAGTAATAACACCAGGAGGCAGCTCTGATGAAAACTCACACTCACACGAGCTTTTAAATCTCTGCACAAAATTCAATTTAAACCAGCAAATAATAGAGCCTACTAGACTGGAGAATACACTAGACCATCTTCACTAACAATGATGATCTGATAAGAAATGTCACCATATAAAAAACAATATACTCAGATCACAACATAATTGAGGTTCAGACATGTATGCGTGGAGCCCCAAAACCGAAAAAGAGGCCCGAAGTTTCAAATTTTAAATTAAAAAAAAAAAATTTTGGGGGGGTAAAAAAAGCCAAAACCGAAGGGGGTTA